ATAGGCAGGATTTTCTCGCTTGAGAGAGATGGATCGCTTGAGCGAGAACCCGACGATTTCACTTTAAAATAGAAACTCTCAAACACTTTTAGGGTTAGAAATTCAGAGAGAAGAGAGGAGAAGGTGATTATGAGAGCAAGAACTCGTGGGAGTCATCTAGAAGCTTGAGAAGAGGTAAATCTCTTGATTCCAACTCTCTTTCTCCCTTTCAAACTCGTATTAAAAGAATGGAGAGAGTTTGTTTGTTGATTCATGAAAACCCCAAAAACCCCCAAAATAAGAATATGAGTAAAAGGGGAAATGGGTGAAATGTTAGATGTAGAAGATGAGTATATGTTCTAATGTTGAATATGAGATGAATATGTATGTTTTAGATGTTTGGAAACCCTTAAGGAAGGTAGTTTTGGAAACGTTGAAAATGTATGAATCTCTTATATGGTTAAAGATGAAATGTGAGTTGTTTATGTGTTATTTTGAATAAATGACTAAAATTGTTGTTATATGGTGTGAATGAGGAAAGATCCTAAGGTTGGAGGTGGTGTCGGTGGAACTTGCAAAGTTACCAAGGACTAAACCCAACACTCACCAAGGTAAGGATAAGTCTTAACTTGCGCATTGTAATGGAAAATGTGTGGATTTTCTGGTTGTGAAAATGATGAAGTTGCGAGTCGCTTATTTATTATAAACATATATGGATATGTTTGTAATAATGATTGTGTGGATTTACTGTTTATGAATTGATGGTGTATCAATGAAAAGAAAACACGTTTTTACCCGACCGTGATTGGTTAGCAACTTTGGCTCAAGTAATGTAGCAAACTTTAGCTCAAGTAATGTAGCAAACTTTGGCCCAAGTAATGTAGCAAGCTTTGGCTCAAGCGATGTAGCAAGCTTTGGCTCAAGCAATGTAGCAAGCTTTGGCTCAAGCGATGTAAAAAGCTTTGGCTGAAGCTATGTAGCAAGCTTTGGCTCAAGCGATGTAGCAAACTTTGGCTCAAGTTATGTAGCATGATTCCAAAAGTATAAACGATGTAAATGGTTTTAAGTATATTTGATTCTAAATTGTTTACTTAACCTTATTAAAATGTGGGTTAATGTAAATTGGCATTTATTGAGTTAACAACTTACTCCTTTGTGTTTTTTTGTGTATTGTCAATGTTAATCCCATTGCAGGTAGGCGGGAGATTTAAGGATGACTGAATTATGAGTTTAGAGTCTTTTAGTTTCGAAGTCCTTATCTTCATTGTTTTGTAACTTAACTGATTATATTTTGAGCTGAATATTTGTAACCATGGGCAGGATATTTGGACATGTTTGTAGACATGGATAATTGTAACTCTGGATATTTGTAGCTATGAGTATTTTGGAAACCCATAGCTAGTTGTATGCAGTAGTTATCAGAATATATTAATATGAATTATGATTTTCTGTTAAATGAACGTGTTTGTGAATGTTACGTTATGGAATGAGTATGAACAGGAAAGTGGGATTAAAATAAGGTGTTGATTTTGTGATTATAAGTTATAGGGAAATGTATGTAAAAGGAATAAAATAAGGAAGCAATTTCAATGGTAGAATTTGAGTCCTTACAAATACCAACACAAAATCGAAGCCTCTTAATCAATAATCAATTCCACACCATTTTTTTATGTTTTCAAGCAAAACGATTGCAATAACACCAACCCCCACAAGGAGGTTGCTGTCAAGTGGTATCAGAGCAACCTCCATGAAGTTTATCAGAGCAACCTCCATGAAGTTTATCAGAGCAACCTCCATGAAGTATCCCACAATTATTTGGCACTCCCACATTGTGAAACTCTAAAGAATACGTCATAAGAGAGTGCGAAAGTGATGATATTTTTAGATTTCAAATTATGTTGCACCTTTTTTTTCTCATCATCATTCCACACGCTCTTAGGCTTTTCCTTAGATTCACCTTCCACTAAATATAGTGGAATAAATGGTCCATTGACTATACCATCCCAAATATCCATGTCAATCGCTTCAATAAAGATTCTCATTCTCACTTTCCTGTAGGCGTACACTTCGCCACTGAAAATCGAAGGACGATAAAAGGGTTAGTGGAGCCCATGGTAATATAACCTAGGATCAATTATCTAAGAGGCTAAGCTAGCGATAACGTACTAGCTCTGATACCACTTGTACCACCGATTATAGCAACTCCTTGAGGGGGGTGAATTGGTGTAAGCGGACCACCATGACCGCTTTTTCCAATGGACAATGAAAGTGAAAAAAGTAAGGTGTTTAATCGATTAATCAGAGTGGTGATTGATTATTTGACAAATACAATTAATCGATTAACTACAGGCGTAATCAATTATTCAATACAGAAAAACTCATAATAAAAAACAATCGTTTCTTGATTTACAAGTAAAACAAAATCCAAAACTCAATATACCCAAAATTGCTAACTGAGACTTATCAATGATATACACAAAACAGGAAGTAATCACAGTATATGTAAAGCAATTTCATTAAGCACACGAAGTATATTAAGTGACTGAATATGGTATAACAACGCTTCCAGATGTTGTTGTGAACACCCAATTTTGTCCGACCTTTTTATAATATAAAAAAAGTATACATATTTTAGACCAATAAAAAATTTCAAAAAAAAATACAATATTTAGACGTCTCATAACCAACTTTATCTTGACTATTCGTTTATAATCTTTTAGAAAACCTTTGATTAATAGGAGTTTGTAATCTGTTTAAAAAGGGTTTAATAAAAAGTACACAAATAGTTATGGGATAGAAAATGAAAAGAACTTGGAGGTTTTGAGTTAGGTTACTGAGTTATGCAAGTTTGGTATATGAAAAATCTTGAAAAAGGAAAACGGTGACAGTCATGCTGAATGATACGCTTAATGGAAATAATGGTTAAAAGTCTTTTGGCTTCACTCCATAACGTTGGCACTTATGATATAAGTTTGCCTATTTATATGTAAAAAAGAAGATACGGAGAGGAAGTGCAAGGGGGAGGGGGAAATGCCCTCTTCCTTTTTTTTCCTCTCCTCCTCATATATCCATTTCTCGGTCATATAGTAATTCTATGACATACCCCTTAACCTCCAAAAAAAAAAAAAAAAAAACAAAAAAAAAAAAAAAAGCCATATGCTCTCTTTTCCAGGGTTAACAACCATCCATATTCTTTTAGGCCATGACTAACCTGCTACCTGCAGGTTAGTTCGTTTCAATGCGAACTGAAATAATAGCCGTACGATTTTTTTTAATTCATTTGACCCGTTGGATATGTGACTGGGTACCAGGATTATTTTTGGCTGAAGTCGGTTTGGGTCTGAGTAACATCTGTTGAGAAGTCGGTTTGGCCCAGTGACACTTCTGTTGAGAAGTCAGTTTGGGCCAGAGTAACTTCTCAACAGAAGTCGGTTTGGCCCAGTGACACTTCTGTTGAGAAGTCGGTTTGGGCCAGAGTAACTTCTCAACAGAAGTCAGTTTGGCCTAGTGTAACTTCTGTTGAGAAGTCGGTTTGAGCCAAGTAACTTCTCAACAGAAGTCGGTTTGGGCCAGAGTAACTTCTCAACAGAAGTCGGTTTGGGTCAGAGTAACTTCTCAACGGGCCATGCAGCACATTCCATGTATTATCCCAATTTTTTTTGCACAATTTAATTATAAAAAAAATAAAATATAAAAAATAAAATGAAGTAATTAAAAATAAATTAATATATCTCAACATAAATTTCAATTACAAAATCTTAAAAAATCTAATGATTTCCTTAATGACCTCCCGTTTCACACCTACGTGGTTGCCTAGTACGTCTTGATCTACAATGGCATTGTCAACATTTTCCATCGAACTAGAGTGTTGTTTTGATCGAACAAGTAAACAACAGTATTTGCAAACTCCAGACCCAACACCGGCTGAACTTCGAAGGATAATACATGGAATGTGCTGCATGGCCCGTTGAGAAGTTACTCTATGGCCCAAACCGACTTCTGTTGAGAAGTTACTCTGGCCCAAACCGACTTCTCAACAGAAGTTACACTGGGCCAAACTGACTTCTGTTGAGAAGTTACTCTAGCCCAAACCGACTTCTCAACAAAAGTGTCACTGGGCCAAACTGGCTTCTCAACAGATGTTACTCAGGCCCAAACTGACTTCAGCCAAAAATAATTCCGGTACCCAGTCACATATCCAACGGCTCAAATGAATTAAAAAAAATCGTACGGCTATTATTTCAGTTCGCATTGAAACGAACTAACCTGCAGGTAGCAGGTTAGTCACGGCCATTCTTTTATCCTTCATTATACACACCCATACCACACTCCTATCATCCATATCCCATAAAAAGGCATGGATTAGAAAAAAGCCAATCTGATACATATCCAAAAAGAGACATGGACCTACATATACACACCATTTTGTGCAATATGTCACACACACTACATATCACACAAACGGTGTACACAATCCTCACTATCCATCACATAGCAAAATAGAGAATCACATACAGAGAGTTGTACAAAAGAGGCAACCACATACACAACATCTACTCATACCAAGCATCAACAATAAGGATCAAACAGGGAAACGAGGATTGGCAAGTAACGAGGGACTGAGATTTAAGAGGTAAGCTTTGGGTAAGGCATCCATCATGTAAACACAAACCTAAAGGCATCTTGTGCATCCTATTCTCATAACATGTTATATTAAACCAAGAAACATCCAATGAAAGCATCTCACTTTCTAAACACTTGTTTACTGTGTACATATAATAAGGGCATTCATATCATGATAATGCTTACACTTTTATATATGTTTAGTCACAGAAATTCTTAAACAAGAAGGTATGCCCATTCACATCATAACAGTACACACATTTTCGTACAAAAATCATAAACACTATGAAACAGAAAGCATTTCTACCCACTGTTTATAATGTACACAATGTAATAGTGCCTTTGTAAACACCATCTTCATTAGCAAATCAAAACCATCACCATGCATTAGTCTATATATGCATCCAGCTAATTGGTAAAAATAGAAAAGATGGAATTTTTCACCGAAACCCCTCTTGTCTCTGCCGAATTTGAACCACGATCTCATTGTCTTAAGCTTAGTCATGCATTTAGCACCACCATAAGCTGTTCAGGTCCAACCTTTTCTCAGCCTTGATGAGCCTCTGTTAAAGTGATAACTTTTGTTAGATAAAAAAGAGAGAGGATAAAAACAGAGAAGATGGACACCCTTTTTAGTCACCATGATAATTGATGGAACCACCGTGATTCATATCCCGGTCTCAAATCCGAAGCCATGGCCCCCTTTGTGCCATGATCCTTAGCTTCGCTGCCTCCTCTTCCGGTGCAAGCCGAAATCGCCGCCGCTGTTTCTGAATCGGTTATATAAGAAAATACATTATTTAATTCCTTTGTTATATATATATTTATTTGTTTTATGGTTTTCTTATTAGCAATTGTATTAAAATTAATTAGTTGAGTTTATTTTCTATGAACTAGTAAAGGATGATCATATGATTTTTACATCATCATAAAGATTAGTGAAAATATATCATTTAAAAATAATAGCTTAATGAATTTTTAAACGGAGTTTGATAACGGAGTTTTATAGTCCAGTTTACAGCCCGTGTCGTCTCTTCCTTTCCGCTTTAAAAGTAGAAAGTTGTCCACGACCAGTGTTGTCTCTTTACTATCAACTCTAGTTTTATAAAAACAAGTACTTCTAATTTTTTTTTTAAATTAAGTGTTCAAATGAATTTTAAAAGAGTTTGATAGTCCGGTCGACGACCCATGTTGTTTCTACCTTTCCATCCTAAAGATGGAGAGTCGGTGCACGATCAGTGTTGTCTCTTTACTATCAACTTTAGTCTTATAAAAATAAGTACTTCTAAAAAATCTCTTTCTAAATTAAGTGTTCCTTAATGATTTTCAAAAAGAGTTTGATAGTCTGGTCGACGGTCCGTGTCGTTTCTTCCTTTCTGCTTTAAAAGTGGAAAGACGGTCTACGACTAGTGCTGTCTCTTTACTATTAATCCCTATTTCATAGATTTATAAAAATTATTTCTACGACGAGTGTTACAATTCCAATTCAACCAAATCGACATTTTCAAATCAACCAAACCAATTTTTCAACTTTCGAACTAGAACTACGTAGACTTGATTTCCCTATTGCACCTAGGGATACGTAGGAGCAAGACGAATTCTTGTCAGACACAACAATAAAAAATTAAACATTTTGCTTTTATATTTGAACTTTTAATAATTTTAAGGGTATAAAAGTCCATGTTATTAGCGAGGGTACTGTTTTAATACGGGCGGATGGGGTGCTAATACCTTCCCCGATCCATAATCGACTACCGAGCTCAGAATCTCTGTTCAAAGACCAAATTGTCCTAATCGGGCATAATTTAGAGTTTTCTATGTTTTAACCGCAAAAAACGTAGTGGCGACTCCAAAACAATTGGAAGAGGTAGAAATCGAGTTCCCCTCTCCCTAAGTCGCAGGGCCGGTCTTCCAACCGAAAATCGGGTCGCGACAGCTGCCTATTTGAGCGTAGTAGAATATGGTATGCTTTAACAGTACTTATATGGGCGTTGTTGCTACATATAAAAGTTCATGCTACATGGAGCTCTAACAAGCGCTGTTATATATTTGATACATATAAAAGTTCATGCTACATGGAGCTCTGTCGTATAATTCATATATAACAGTGCTTCTTAAAATGAGCGTTGTTATTTGAATCACACATAATAACACACATTGTAAGGAACATTGTTGTATTAATCATATACAACAACGTTGAATAAAATGAGTGTTGTTTTTTTTTGTAATATATACTACTATGCTCATTTTAAGGAGCATTGTAGTATATATTACATACAACAACGATTTCTGTAAGGAGCATTGTGTTATGTAATAGATACCACAACACTGTATGTAAGGAGCGTTGTTGTATGTAATATATACACCAACGCTCTATGTAAGGAGCGATGTTGTATGTCATATATACAACAATGCTATTGTATATATTACATACAACAATACTCGATGTAGTCTGCGTTGTTATATGTTTCAAATACAACAATGCTTGTCAGAGCTCATCCTAGCATGCGCTGTTGATTTTTACACTAATACCTGCATATACATTTATCATGCCAATTATGATTTTATATATTCTCAAAATACATACATATATTCTCAATAGCACAGACACACATTAATACAATATCATGTCAAATTATGTTTGTATTATTAACATCAATACAACATAATTGCAAACAATAAATATCATGACAATTATGTTTAGGTAGAGTACATAAAATTACAAACAAATAATATAACTAAAATATATACAAATTACAAACAAACAAAATTATGCTATAATTATTCAAAGACATGCATCTACTTTTCCTTTTCTTTGGTCGTTTTTGGCTTGTAATATCCTTGTCTGGATGAACATATTGATTCACCTAAATCCCTTCATCATGATTATCTCTTTTAAATAAATTATCGTTCATAGTTGGTCCTCTCTCATGCGACAGCAATGTTTTGAAAATGATCGTCTTCACCATTAATTTCTTTATATTCTTGGTCATCAATATTATTGACAATTATTTTGTTAGCCAAAAGAACAATGGACCATTTCATATTAGTTGGGTCAATAATATAGAATACTTGTTAAGCTTGTGATGCTAGAATAAATGGCCCATCTTTGTATCCTGACCTATTAAGATCTATGTACATGAACCCTAACTCATCAACTCGAAATCCATTGTTGTTATCAATCAAAACACTATGTAATCCAATTCCCATATTTTTTAAAGACCCCAAAGTATGACATATTCACAATATTGGGTTTCTATTTTTGGCACTTGACATATGTAAAGTTTGAGCAACAATAGTCACACCACTATTTTGCATTTTACTTTGATCATCTTGTTTTTTTGTATAAAATGTGAACCCATTAATTAGGTAACTAGTGTAGGATAAGACATGGATACTTGAACCATTGGCTAACCATTTCAATATTTCATAAATCGAATATGCATTTATATTTAACTCCTCATCAATGTGACTTTTTAGCCACTTTATGAAACACCGATTATGCTCTTCGGAAATCCAATTTTAATTCTTACTTGAATAAGACTTCCTAAGCATCTCCTTGTCTTTCAACATACAAGTGTGCTTGCTCCAATTCGGTATTATGTAAAACATATAAGTGTGCTTGCTCCAATTCGGTTCTTGATATAATCAATATTTCATTCTTAGTAATCCTTTCACCAAATGTTCTTTTTGCATAATGAGGCTTTGGAATGCCTATGAAATCACCATCTTCAAGGTATACGGTACAAAAATAAAGAGCTTCTTCAAAAATATATCGCTCAACAAGACAACCATCTAGTCTTAATTCATTCTACACATACCTTTTAAAGTCTTCATATAACGCTCAAAATGGTACATTCATCTCATGTAGGAAGGACTATTAGGGTACCGCAAATCAGAGTATAATACCTAGAGGGGGGTGAATAGGTGAGTGCGGTTCAGTATACCCGCTTTTCGGAAATAACACTTGAGAAATTACACAAAGCAGAATTAATCGATTAAACAAAAATACAATCGATTATATCAATCAGAAAAATTTAGAACATAAATGTCACAGCAGTTAAAGAACATATATCTTGTCAATTTTAACAATTTCTTGATGCAAATAGCTAAAAAAAAAATGTTCTTAAAAAGTAAAAAGATTAAGGAATAGAGAAAAGAGAAAAGCAATTTTATCCTGGTTCGTTTGCGTGTCCACTTGCAAACTACATACAGTCCTCCCCTTCTGATCTTGGGAGATTTACTTCACTATAATCGAAAGAATTGTTCTTTACAATCACACTAAAAAAGGAAACTTCTAAAACAAAAGCCCTTAGCTTATACAAGCCATCTACAAACCTAGATGATCAATATATCAAACACACTAAAAAAGGATGTACGAGAATGCAATAGGTTTGGGTAAAAATGTGTATGTACTCAATTGCACAAATTGAAACTTTCTCTCTCAATAAAACCAAGAACCTTTCACATAGGTTTTTCTATAAAGTATGCAATTTTAGCTCAAAGAGAATCTTAGAAAATATGAAAAATTTGGAATCAAAATTATATGGGCTAAATTGCATAAAAATGAGTATTTATAGTTTGCTGATTTAACAGAATACAATCGATTAAATAGACATTTAATCAATTAAAGGAGTTTAAAAATAACAGTCCCCTATTGAACTTAATCGATTAATAAGATTCATAAGTGATTAAAACTATTAAGAAGCTCAAGACAATAGCTATTGGAACTCTCATTAATCGATTAAACAAATGCTTAATCGATTAACGATTGTATAGAGTTACTTAGTCGATTATTTCACTATTTAATCAATTATCAGACAAACCATTTGTTTCTTGGTGAAGAGGCAACCCTTCCAAAACATGTAAGTTAATGTAATGAATGAGTTTGTGTAAAAACTACCATTTAATGCAACCTACTTAAAATGTATGGATGAATGATGATACTCAAAAATGATTTTATGCAATCTTAAGAATATGTGAGATACTCATCATTTGGGCTAGCCTACCAAGACTCAAACTAAGCACACATCTTAGGACTTCTAGAAAAGTAAAAATAACATTCCCTAAAGCCTGAGTCTTGGTACTGTTGTTTGTTGTAGAGTCACGTCTTCAAGCTTTTAAGATCGACTTTGTCTTCATCGAAACCATACCGGAAGATAGATGTTGCAATATCGCTTGTTGACTTCTCTTGCAATCTCTAAGACCACATAGTTGCATCTCAAGCAAGATGAATGCAGGTAACTTCTCAAGGTTAATCACTTGGCTACAAATTGCCTTCAAGATGAAGCATAACTTAGTTATGGTTCCTCGCACTTTTTTAGGTAGAATGAATCGTATGCCAATAGGCAATAAATTCTCCATGAGTACATGACAATCATGAGACTTAAGACACTTTAACTTGGGGTCCTTCGTTGATACGAGGTTACGAATGTTAGAAGAGTACCCCTCTGGAACTTTAGCACCATGGATAAATTTAAAAAATTCTACTTTCTCCTACTCGACAAAGTATAAGCTGATGGAGGTAGATATGTATGTTTTCCATTCATTATTGGCACCAATCCTTTCTTATTTGCATACTAATCAAGTCCAGTCTTGCATTCAAGTCATCTTTGGTCTTACTAGGGATATTGAGTTGTTAGGGTACCTGTCAAACAGAGTATAACACCTAGAGGGGGTGAATAGGTGAGCGCGAGTCAATATATCCGCTTTTCACAATTTATCAG